TATCTCATTCGTCTGTTGGCCTTTACCAATAGGAACGTCTTGAGGGAAAGAAGAAGGGTGAAGCAGAGAAAGACAGTGTCCCACATGTTTCTCACAAAGACTTGGAAATGGCAGAGAAAGTGTCCAAGTATAATGTAAGTGGTTGTACTTTATTTTTCACATCTCTTAAATGTTCCCGTTTAGCAGAGTATGCATTTTTGTTCACATTGAGTTCAGGACTAAAATTTCTGTACATGTCACTAATTATTAGGATTCTAAACGTGCGGAGTCTCTGATGAGCCTTCACACAAAGAAGATGAAGGAGAAGGCGAAGGAGAAAGCTGACCAGCCAGTCGAGAGGAGACCATTCGATCGTGACGCAGACCTGCAAGTGAACCGCTTTGATGAAGCGCAGAAGAAGCGGCTGCTGAAGAAGTCTCAGGAACTGAACACACGGTTCTCCCACAGCAAGGAGCGCATGTTCCTCTAACACACCGAAAATGTCAAAAATGTGTAAAAACACATTTTCCTTTAGACTTCATAGAGTATGGTCTAAGCTTTGTTGGTCTATGAAACTGGAGTTTAACACACAATAGTTTGTGTAAATGACAGGACGCCATTGTTATAACAGATGTTTTATAGTCATTCAATCTGTTATGAAACAGCAGCTATTTGAGCTTTTAGAGTTATAGAATAAATGAAAACAATTCAAATGTTCTTCCTGCAGAACGTCAGCTTATATTTTTAGATTGGACCGTGTTTGTACAGGTAACATCCAGATCAATCACATGTCTCTTGGTAAATTTAGTTGCTATGAATGGTGTCAGATTGAATGTCATTTTCAGTTTTGGTGTGCTGAAATTTTGTGTAAAACTCAGACTTTGTACTTAGGGATGGTAAAGGAGAGATGAGAAACAGTTTAGCCTAAGTGTTTATGTGTGGTTTTAATTAAAATGGGGGATAGTGCAGTATAATACTGGGTTAGATAATGTTTTATTTAATGCCATTATACAAATATCTTCAGTCTGTTATGGACTACCTATTAAAGAGAGAAAAATACTTTCTCGATTCAAAGTACTTCATTTTTTTGGCTCCTTAAATATTTTTCTGTTTTTGCTTTTGTTTGTTCTAAATGCAAAAAGTGAACATTTTAAACCAAACTGCCATTTTGGCATCTAGATATAAAAGGCTCAAATCTTTACATTAACGCACTCTACATCTGTGATTGATTCCTTTTAAGCTTTTTCTGAAACTCCTATAAAATGTGTTGTACTGCTATTGCAACTTTAAACTGTATATTAAACTTTTATAAACTCCAAACTTTTACAAAAACACTTTCTTGGCATGTTGTGTTTCTTTATTAACACACCTATTTTTAGTAACCAGCATTTAAGTCCTACGCCGTAGTAATGGTTGTAAAAATTGGGGCTCTTCAGAGTCGCTATATATGCATATTGCATTTATGCATGCGTTTGGCGGTAGCATTGATCGAGATCCCAGTCATCATTTTAAAATATTTAAAGCAGAATGCAGGCGTGTGGCTCATTAAAGTACATATACACTCTCTGTAATAACATTAGGTAATTGGATGTAAGGAGAACGACTAATTTAACCAGCTAAGGCTAATGTTGCTTTCAATTTGCTTCAGATGTCTGAGCTGAGAGTGACGTCACTGCTAAGTTGAGCGTGATCCAGCATTAAAGTTCAAAAAGCATGAAAACAGGATTTGTTTGACTTCTTAGCCAGGTTAAGCCATTTGTGTATTACTACAGTGTTTCCATTTTGCACTTAAACACTGCTGCACATTCATTTAAAAGAGTCTGGTCAGTGCCTATGGCTTTAAGTTGGGGCAATGAAACAATAAACATACAGGCTCAAACGTATAGATTGACTCACTTAAAACCTAATAAGTGATACTGACGGTTCTACAGTTTCATTTAACTTGACAGGTTCCTATTAACTTCTTATTAGTGATCGTGATTGACTGATTGACAAGGAACTCTGTCAGGCTCCAAAGAGGATAATTGTAGATTTACACAAGTAGGAACCGTTTCTAAATACCTACAGATTCCAAGATCATCAGTTCAAAAGGCACACAGCTAGAGGCTGCTCGGTGTCAATCGGATCTCTGAAATTATTTCACTGCCTTCTCTGATGTGGACCCAACTCTGCCAACATTAGCTCAAACTTCCTCATTGACATCCTGAAATAAGAAAGCAGTTGTGATGCAGCGTCAACTTCTGGATCAAACCATGAAAATCTCCCTGCTGCTGCCTTTTCATGAAAACTAGACGAACCAACAATCTCAGTTTCTCCCTTTTCTTGTTTAGAAACATCAGGACCACATCAGAAAACATGAGGAATTTTATGTTGTCTCTTTGCACTGCGTTAGGTGTGTAATGGCCTTTTTTTCAGATATGTAACCATGGTGCCAAGGTTTGGAAGAAAACTGTCACACTCATGTGAGCAGAAATTGGTTAGGATGCTCCATGGAGGAACCATGGAGCCACCAAGGATCAAGGCTGCCACACCCTATCACATGCTTCCTCTAGATCTACAAAGACACAGCACAGCTCATTCTGACCTTCTCTTTATTTGTCCATCATCAACTCCCGAAGCAAACAGTGCATCTGATCATGTTAAACAGTTAGGATGGCCACTGTCCTCTCTGCAGCACCACAGGTTTGGCGTTAGGACCAAACACCTTTCCACTCTTCATCCTCTTCATAGCTGCCCTCGCTTTCTCCTTATTAATCATCTGCACTTCCTGATTCACTAATTATCTTACTTACATACTCTTTCTCTGATTTTCTTAATTGATGAGCTCCTCAAAAGACTCATTTCATTTTCTCAGCACACTCCCTTCACTTGCTAATACATATCCATCTTATTTCGATCTCTACCCTTTACCATCCTAACCTGCTGTACATCCTTTCCAGCTCAAGTGCTCTGTCTAGACAATCAGTACAAGTCTATTCTTTCTCTTTCCTTACTAACCAGGTTCACATGCAACTCACTATACAAGTGTTTTCTCTTGCTTTTCTTGCATACACATTTGTCCATAAAAAAGGGGAAAAAATTAAAAAAGTTCAAAAGAAAAAGCAAAAGAAAAGCAAAATATGTGTATTGTCATTTTTCACAAAAGACCAATAGACCATCAAAAACTTAATATAAAAAATGGGGGAAAATTGGATAGTTTATAATTATGTTTCAGACCGAATTACCCATTGACCTCAAGTGGGTTGGTCAGGGATAGCCAGCTGGCCAGATGTGGCCAGCGAGTTATACAATACACAGCTCCAGTCTAAAGTGTAATCCAGATGACTGTTATTATTATCATTGTTATTATTAAAGTGTTTTATACAGCCAATGCTTCTAGTACAAGGAAACTGGCTGGCAGCCTGACAATTGCATTACTGTTCAGAGTCATGGTTATAAAGATGTAAACTTTTTATTTTGTTACCCCCCCCCCCCCCCCTTGTATTCTTAGCTGTCAATACATCTGTGACATATTTGCTTTTAATCAGTCTTTGCACTGACTACTGATTTATCATAAAAACTATATACAAAAAACTGTCTAATGGGGATTTCGGTAAATTTAATCAGCATGTCATGCAGCTGGTTTACTTGCTATAGGACAGGAGATGTTAGAGGGAAGTCCGCTAGCGAGCTGTTAGGTTTTGTACCTGATGTGACTACTTTTTTCTCGCAGCACCAGGTATGGTCTCTTGATACTAAGCTCTCACCATTTCATTGTCTTCTTCCTCTTAGAAATACTACTTGGACTTCTTCATAAAAGCCATTAAAAGTTGACAAAAACATCATATTTACAGAGGTACATGTAAATGTAATTATAAAACAATGGAAGTACAAAGTGTGGCTGCAACCATGCTAATATACAAGGTTCTACATCCTTGAACAATTGTACTCTTTAACTAGGGTTGTTACCCTTCACAAAAGCATTGGATAACTATTGGAATTGTTCAGAGTCTTAGAGAAAGAAAGGTTGATTGTTTCTCATTGTCTCCGAATTAGCTAGCTAAATGCCTAACTATCTAGGTCAAAAGGCATGATCTTGTTTTCCCTTTTCACTCATTTGAAAAGCCTTTAAATGGATAATAACTCAAAACAAGCCCCATATGTCAGGACCAGCCTGGCCACCAGGATTTAAGTACCTGAGTTCCTATCCTATAAAGGTTTCCCAGTGAATGAGGAAAAATAAGTGAAAATATTAAGTTGAGGATAATTGTAACTATAAATTGTAAATTGTAACTTAATTTTTTCCTTTAGGTCACCTGTGCTGGGACCTGCTCTTCCTCCTGGATTTTGCTGTGGAGCGTATGAAAACATTGTTGGTGAGGTTACCAGACTGAGCCCATTGGCAGTGAGTGAGAGGATGAGGATGGTGTGAGTGGACCCATGCTAGCAAAAGGTCAATTCAGGACACCTTGGCTCAGGACTTTGAGCACAGAACAAAAAGGATGAAAGAGAAGGTGAAAAACACAAAACAAGTAGAATGTTTTTCTTGCAGCACATCAGCTTATATTTTCACATTGGACCATGTTTGTACAGGTAACATCGAGATCAACCCCATGTGTCTTGCTAAATTTAGGTGATATAAATACTGTCAGATCGAATGTCATTTTCAGTTTTTGTGTGCTGAAATTTTGTGTAAAACTCAGACTTTGTACTTAGGAATGGTAAAGGAGAGATGAGAAACAATTTAGCCTAAGTTTTTATGTGTGGGGTTAACGTTTCAATTTTAATTTGACGTTTAACTAATTAGATTAATGGCATAACAGCCTGTAAAATTTGCATTAATGATCCCTTTGTACATCTGATTTGACTTTATGCTAAGCTTTTTCTGAAAATTGCTGTAAAATGCATTAATATGTAAAAAGTATTTGCTTTTTAGTTGACTAAACTGAAAAAAAACTGTCATTGTGTTGTAATTTTTTAACAACTCTTGTTTTTTAGTAGTGGCTAAGCGTAGTGAAGGCAGTAGTAGTAACGAATATGGACCTTCAGAGTCGCCATACTTCCATATTTCATTTACGCATGCGTGTGGCGGTTGCCCTGCTAGAGTTTTAACAGTCGTCATTTTAAAATATGTCAGAAAAAGGAGAGGTGGATTTGACCGGTGCCAAACAAAATACAGGCGTGTGGCTCGTTAAGGTGCGTATACACTCTTTGTAATAACATTAGTTAATGGGATGTACGGTGAGTTACTAATTTAAACACGGCTAAAGCTTACGGTCTGGTAGCTTAGCATCTGCTGCTAAGTTATCTAACGCTGGCTAAGTTTATCATCTGTAAGCTAGCTCGGTTAAACTGGCATAGTACAATATTTTGGGAGCAGAACACACTATAAACAACTGGTTTAATTAGATGCTATCACTTAGTCTTCACAGTCTTGGTAAACAACACCCTTAGTTAGAATAATAGCAGTGCAAACAGTGACGGGATGTACATTGGATAAAATCTTAAGATATACACAATTAGCTTAGCGATTTAGACCAAAGTATGTGACAAAACTGCAAACGTAACAGTTTCTTTTTAATAGTGGGAAAGGAGTGTAATAATGATTATTGCTTATATTTTGTGCATGTGGATAGTTTAACTATAAATAGTGTTTCTTCTTCCAGGTGCCCAAATACCTTTCTCAACAATGGGCAAAAGCGACAGGCAGAGGAGAAGTTGGAAAGCTCCGGATCTGCAAGTATGTGAAGTAACTGAGCATTTATAAAAGTAGTAGAAGTCAACCTGAAAAGTTTCTTATGTGTGTCATGTGACATGGGAACTGAGTCTGTGTTGATCAATGGTAGGGGTTAGCTGAGGCTAACTACATATTTAATAGAAACAGTATTTTGGTCATATGCCGTACATTTTAAATATTTTTTTAAAAAGGCCCCTCAATTGTATTTTCTTTTCTTGTTTTTTATTTCCAAGGAAAGGAAATCAAGGAAAACCAGAGGTAAGGATTGCTCTGCATCCCAGTACTCTGACATACAGCAATGGACTGTTTTAGTAAGAGCCAAAACATTAAATAATCTTGATGTGCTCACAGGTTGTTGTCAATGTATTCATAATTGGGGAAACAAAATATATAGTTTGAATTTCAATTATTGTATTTAATTGTAGGGTGTTTAAGGGTAGAGATGGATATGTACTACCAAGTGAAGGGAGTGTGTTGAGAAGATGGAAGGGGTATTTTGAGGAGCTCATCATTTAAGAAAATCGGAAACAGAAGAGGATGGAGAAAGGACAGTTAATCAATCGGAAAGTACAGAGGATTAGTAAGGAGTAAGTAAGGACAGCTTTGAAGAGGGTGAAGAGTGGAAAAGTAGTTGGTCTTGAGCTATGGAAATGTCTAGAAGAGAAGGCAGTGTACTTTTTGACCAGATTATTTAACACAGTCTTAGAGAGAGAGAATATGCCTGAGGACTGGAGAAGAAGTGTAGTAATAATAATTATTTTTGAACAACAAGGGTGATGTGCAGCGCTGTAGCAATACCATAAAAATATGGGGAAAAGTATTTGAAGCTAGGTTAAGAAGACAAGTGATGATCCATGAGCAACAATATGGTTCTGTGCAGAAGTTCTTTGCTTTGAGTGTGTCGATGGAGAAGTATAGAGAAGGTCAGAAGGAGGCTACCTATGTCTTTGACAATCTGGAGAAAGCATATGATAGGTTTCCAAGAGAGAAACTGTGGTACTTAATGAGGAAGTCAAGATGTGACAGGGAAGTAAGTGAGGGTGGTGCAGGACATGTATGAGTAGGGCAGGGCAATATAGCCAAAAATATTTATCACGATATATATTTTAAAATTTGCAATAACAATATACCTGACGATATAATTGACACGAGACAAAGTACTTTACAACTCCACAACTTTATTAGTGCAAAAAAAAACCCCACATCAATGTATTTTCACTTAAACAAGCAGCTGTTTTTTATGTGCATTAAAGCTATATAAAAACTTTAACAGTGCAAATGCAAATTCCTTACTGACAGTTTAACCAAAAGGCATTTCCATGGAAATTGGCCGATATATCCTGAGCATAACCATATATAATATCTACAAAACTTAAAAAGAGGTTATAAACACACAATACGGTAATATTATGTTGAAGCACAGTACGTATCACTCCGCCAGACTCCTGACTATAGTAGCCGTAATGCTCCGACAGTCCATTAAGCGGTGCGGTTTGGTAACTTACGGAAGTCGTACGAAAAATTTTTTTTCAATAACGGCCCGCTAGCATGCTCTACCAAAATTTGTGCTTTGGTGTGTATCTGACGGACGAAAGCCAAACTAGTTCCACACCACTGAAGTTGCACCATTTTTACAAACCAATTCTGGTTCTTCTGTTTCATTCAATGATCCGCTTTCACCCTTCTCATTCACCGTCGTCGCCATGTGCGGATGAAAACAAAGGCACTGTGCATGTGCGTTTTGCACTCTATCGCAGGGGTCACCAACCTTTTTGAAAGTGAGAGCTACTTCTTGGGTACCGATTAATGTGAAGGGCTACCAGTTTGACACACACTTCTCAAATAACAAATTTCCTCAGTTTAACTTAATTATGTGTTATCAATAATAATTAATGATATTCATCTATGTACGGACACTAATTATGTTAATTATTTTTCACCATAATTATAAAGAATGCAAGTAGGAAACAAGGTAGGAAACATAAATATCAATATGCAATGCTTTATTTCTATATATCTCTGCAAGTATTTACATTTTGAAGTGATCACTTCTACAACATTTTCACTTACCACTAACAAATTTTAACAAATCATGCACTGTTACATACATTATTTTTGTATGTATGTAACATACAAATAATCAACTTTCAAATTTTGCAGAACTTTTCACCAAATTGGCAGCATTTTAAAGCAAATTGTCACATGTTACACTTAACAAACACATTTGTTTTTCAATAATTAAATTCAACTTTGACATGACACTGTAATGTTGCCACTGAGAACATCTAATATGGCTTTCTTTGTTTGTTAGTGGGAAATCTGGCATTGCATGCTGTTCACCAGTGTGTTGTAATCTGGGGTATAACTTGACACTGCAACTCTGAGTGAGTCTTGCAGATGTGCATCGAAGAGTTCTGTGTTTGTTCTTGATGAAGTTCATGTCAGAAAAGGCTGATTCACAAAGATAGGTTGAACCAAACAGGCTGGCAACCTTCATAGCTGCTGTGCACACACCACTGTACTTTTCTGTGTCAACAAGGCACCAAAAGTTTGGTGCACCCAGATAGGCTTTGAGGTGGACGTCATTTTGCAATGTTACAATTTCGATTTCCACCTGTCCAGCATCCAAGCTGAACA